TATAATGATGAATAAAAAGTGGGAAGCATAATGCTAGGTGTTCATATGAGGGACCAGTGAGAACTGAAAAGATTAATTTCTTGGTGGAATTAGATCTTTTTTTTCAGATGGAAGTATTTTAAGGAGATACTTCAATAAAATATATATATGTGATGGAAAAACTAACCATCCCTTGTTAATTGATGCACCAAAATCACAACTGTATGGACTTCACTCAGCTTAAGGAACTGAAAGAGGGTAGGTTTAGATTAGATATTAGGAAGAAGTTCTTCACTGTGAGGGTGGTCAGACACTGGAACAGGTTGCCCAGAGAAGCTGAGGATGCCCCCTCCCTGGAAGTGTTCAAGGCCAGGTTGGATGAGGCTTTGAGCAACCTGGTCTAGTGGAAGGTGTCCCTGCTGATGGCAGGGGGGTTGGAACTGGGTGAGCTTTAAGGTCCCTTCCAATCCAAACCATTCTGTGATTCTATGACATTTTGGCACTTTTAAGTACTGACACTTAACACAGCATAAAGGAATTTTCCCAAATACTAAAAGACATTAATCCTGCCTACAAGAAAGTCTATTCCATAATGCTGATCAAGGCATCACAGGCTGAAGAACTTCATATGCATGGTAGCTGCCCAGCTTCCTATAAAACAAGTTCTAGCTGTGATGCAGAACTACTACATTTTAGGAAATGGCTTAATTCCTGCTACACTACTTGTTTAGTTTCCAGAACACAAAATTGCCAATCCATCAGCTCAATTTCCTCTGCTTTTGTGAAAGCCAGCATGGTGTGTGAGGGTGCAGAACAGGGGCTTTCAGTGAACAGATCGAGATACTAAACTCCAGCAAGTCAAATGTGTGCTGTCTATGGTGAGATTTTCCTGCTCTGGTAGAACAGCACTCTGGGAACAGCCAGGGGATTTGGCAGTCACTAGCGTTAGGGGTGCTCATCATAATCCAGGGGCACAGGCAGACAGCGCGGGCCCTGTGACAGGAGACTTGAAAACTTGCTTTTGCAGCAGTTAGAAAAGCATGCAGAGTCTCTCTCCTCCCTTCTCTCCCCCCACCCCATCCTCCTCCCATTCATGGTGTGTGAGCATACCTGTGAGTATGCCCAGCACTGTTTCAGTTCCATTTTAATTACATTAAAAACCCCCTTCTCAGTGAAGAAAAATAGTATTTGGTCAAATTCTGCTAGTTAACAGGCCATCTTTGAGAAGCAGTCAGCCACCACTGAGCACCTCCATGTAACACTGCTTCATCCTAGAAGCTGCTAGAAGACTCAGTGCAACATGGCCAGGGCATTTTTAAGGGAGTGGAGGACTTCTTCACAACTCAATCCAAGAAGTTCCTTCAGAAGGGGAATCTTCTGTAGGTAGCTGCCTTTTCTTATAATCCTTTCTGTTTTGCAGGTGGCATACGATTGAGGCAATGAAGTAAGCTCACATCTGTTGTATGTTGTGTGGTGTTTGGCCAAATGGGTGTGGAGAGGGGGAGGAACAGCTATGGACACTGCAGCAGGAACTCTCCAGGGCAGACAAGGGTGGAGTCACTTTGCACCACGTTTTTATGGACACATATACAATAGTGAGGAAGGACTGAGGGTGTGTGGAGAGCAGCAGCTGTGTGCACTCTTAAAGACAGTACTGAAGTTATTGACAATGGCGCTCTGAAAGCTAAAGCACAGGTGTACTTACAGCGTTCACCTGCAGGAGACATGATGAGAGCACGTTAGGTGAACAACGCATTAAGTCTCCTCATAGAACCAGTGTACAGGTTAAGAGTTTGAAATGTGGTGGGAAGAGAACCTAAACCCTCCTTGCACACTTCCCAGCTCTCACTCTTCAACCTACCTGCTGAAATGAACAATTTTATTTAATGCTAACATTTAACATCGTTAAGTGCTAGTATGAGCTGTTCCAGGCTATCTACGGGTTCCACAAGAAGCCTTTAGCTTTAAATTCACAGGGATGAAAAAGTAGCAGTGAAAACATATAATGTCATCACTTACCGATCACAACCAAATTCCCCAGGCAGATTTTGGAATCACCCATTTACCAAGGTATCTTTGTTGCTGAAGCATTACCGCCTGTGCAGACATGGAATAACAACCTTCATGAAAAGTACAATTAGTAACAATGGATAAGAGAGTGCATTATTCCCTGAAAATATGAAGCCTGACATTCTAGTGCATTCAGAAACATTTAGCAGTAGTGAATACTTTTTATGAACTCAAGAGTTTCACAGTAACATGGAATAGTAACCTAATTAATTCATAGCTACTGAGAAAATGATTTTGGGGTGATTTTATCTGTAAGAACAACAGAAGTTTTCAGATCTGCGCTCATGAATACTGACACCCTTGTTTTATTTAAATTGGATGTACCTCACCAGGTGGCCAGTTCAATCTGATTCCTATTCATGGGACACAGTTCCTTGCTGATGGAAAGTTCAGTCAAGGTATATAATTCAAATCGGTTTACCTGCTAACACTTAACTTTTTTACAGTTCATACTCCTGAGGACATTTCTCCAACAGATGTTTTACCAGAAAAAAGCTAATTTCAAATAAGTTGCTGTTTAAAAATCTTTTCCCCATGATACTAGATCACAGGCTATTTTTTCTTAGAAATTATCTTTTCCAAATGCAAATGTTTAAAATTACTAAGCTGCATTCCAAGAAAAAAAACAATGCTAAAGAGGCAACTTGACTTGTCTCACATATTTCTAGCTTACTAACATAGTAAATGCATTTGAGGCTCTTAAATACTGATCCAGCTACCATCAGCAGTAGCATTTGTGACAAAACCATTGTTTGGAATTAAACAGCATTTCCACCCAGGTTTTATTTTTCTGTTCTTTTACAAGGAAAGTGTATCTATAAAGGATACATTCACTTTCTAATTTTGACTTTTAAAAATTAAGGCCTTACTGGAACAAAAAGCAAGCACAGTCTCTGATGGTTACTGTTTGGCTACGTGAGGCTTTGCACAGATGACAATTACCTCAAGAATGTTAGATTAGCTGAACTCAGATCTCATAGTAACAGGATTGTGTCACACTCAATTTGACAAGTGTTTTGGAGACTCTAAGGTTTGTTAATAACTCCAACTGTTTTCATACGTTTGTCAGCTAACTGGTGTTTCACTGCTACAGGAGCTTACAAATAATGTAAGCAGGTTTCAACTACATTTACAATATTTACATGAATTTTTATTTGCAATTCGTTCAGCTTGAACAATGAAAATGTACAGACATTCAAAATCTAGGCACTACATACCGAGTTAACAGCATTGCAGGGAAATAATTACAGTATTTCCTCTGAAGTTACACTTTCCCGAGACAATCATATTAATATTAATGTTTCACCGTTTTCTGTAAGTAAGAAACCTAAATTGCAGCCCAGCATGATGAAAATACTCCTTTTCAAGTGGAGCACCAGTAACTCATGAAAGGACAGAATCTGCCAAGTGCTTTTATGCGATATTAATTTCCATGATAGCTAGAGTTCTAGTATTAAATAACTCAAAAAATACCTACAGAACTTCATCTATAAGAAGCATGAGAAAAATTTCCAGAAATACTACCAGATTTTTTTAAGTCTGTGCTTTATAATAAAAAATTAAGTGCTTTTTGTTTAGTCTTTTCCTACCTGCCAGTCCGTAATTGCTTGGTAGGACTTTTTTTCCCTTTCCCAAGTGTCAGTTAAAATTCACGTACAGAGTGCATGCTCTTGTCAGTTAAGTTTCATTTTCAGAGAACAAATCACTGTATTCCCGGATGAGAATTTTTCCCCACAAAAAAGACAGGATGCACATTTGGTTCCAAGGATCAACAGAAATTTATGTCAGCTTCATGAAAATATAATACAAAGGACTCATCTTGCCATGTTTATATAAACTTAAAAAACAAAGGTACAGCATAAAAATTGTGGGAACACTGTACAAATAAAAATCAGTGAAATGCTAATTTGAACAGAAATTCTTCACTTATACTGCTGCAAAAATACATAAAGCGAGAGTATATCAAATTTTATTCATATTTTTAAATACAAAGATGATTCTGGAAGACTTATCAAATATACCAGTGAGGCTGATCTGAGTGGATTCTCCTATTACCGTATTCATTGACTACGCAATTACAGTGGCTCTATTTATTTAAGAAGAAGCTGTGTCTTCTGTAAAACTGTGCGCAATCAGAATGAGACTTCTGTGCTCAAAATACAACTGAAATGCTTCTGACAGGTGTTTATTCCAGACACAGAATGACTGTTTGCTTTACAGGTGTATCTGGTATGTTAAGCTCCATTGTACAGTCAATCTATTTTATCAAGGAAGTCTGAGCTACAAAAGCTAAATATTTTTTATTGTTTTATACTATTAATGTTATAAAAATAAAGTACCAACATAACTTCATTTACAACAGGAAAAAAAGCAGCTGTATTATACTTGGCTCAAAGTCTGTATCTATATAAAGAAATGTCAATTTAACCAAACTAAAAAAACCCACCTCAAGAACCCTCAGTTTACTAAACGTGAGGTTCTCTGGTTTTCTTTTATATTCACTGAAACATTATCTTTAAATTATAACCCTCCCTTTTGAAATGCACTTTGGCTAGTTATTTAATGACTCCTGGTTTTTAGATCATCCTTTCTACGTGGTCATGTTACCATACAGAATTATTATATACAAGTCTCCAGCTATTTAACATATACACAAAGGTGATGAATCTCAGCCTTTAAGAACATAACACATCCCCTATGCCCAAGCAAAGTCCTTGCAGGTCATAAGGAACATCAAAGCACTGGCTGGTGTTTCATAATGTATGATCAACATAAGTGGACAAAAAATATTTTCTCAGTAAAAGGTTATTGAAAAAACCCCAAAGCATTCACCAAATGCTAATACATATATGGTTGCGCCTGATACAAGTTTTAATTATGAAATACCAATCTGAAATGTTTTTGCTGTGTAAAAATAGGTTTCTTCTAAAAATGTGCTGGGTCCCTCCCAGTCACACCCAGGGTTTCCATCCAGGAAAAAGTCGGCTCAGATTTTTCGGGTCCATGGCCTGCTGTATGAGGAGGTTCACCTGCCCTCCCACACTGAGCACTGTTCCCTCCTCAACACCTTTCAGCTTCTCTTGAAGTCTCATCAGAACACGCTCAGCCACTTTGTTAAAACTCTGGTCATCACTGCTGGCAGAATAAAAAAAAAGAAAAACAAGTGCACTAGGTACGGATCCTGAACAACACGAGCAACATTCAGTACGAAAGCTGTAAAGCAAGGCAACAGCGCGGTCGGCACAGTAAGGAAAAACTCTTGCACCTGGCTTTTCTTTTACATTCTTGCGGATCAGCATTGAGGGTAGAGCTCATGTCAGCCTCATCCTCTGGCCTCTGCTGCAAATACAAAGCTTTCAAGGGGTTCATGGTCCAGTCAAAAAGAGGATCGTACAGCAGCACCTACACAGCAAATAATTTAAACTGTTAACTAGAGCTAGTTCAGTGCCCTAGCAGGACGAGAAACTCTCAGTCGGTAATTCTTATGTTAACCACAATATTATGAGGTTTGGGTTTGTTGGATTTTTTTAAAATCCAATAGAATTGGGCTAAATTGCTTAGCAGACAATCCAACAATAAAACTGCATCTGAGCATTTGCAGGTGTCTGCATTGTTCATACTTGACTCCACTCTGCCACTCAGTCCCATCTCAGCAATGAAGGGGTCATTTTTTAATACACTTCTAGGCGCTAAATATCATAATTAGTTTTTAATGCTCAGTATAAGCTGCTATTTAAAATTACTTTAATTCTCTTCTTTGTGACTTATGCAAAGAGGATTTAATTCAATTGGCACTAGTCATGCTAGGAATGCTGCACAATGGCTACAAGTGTTTAGATGCTGAAGAGGAAAAACTGCATGTGCCTGAAATTAATAGTTCCTATAGAAAATGCAAACTCGTCATAGTCTTATTGAATAAATCTGGCCAACACTACTACATTAAAATTCAACAAAAAATCCCTACATTAATATTTGGTATAGTAATGCATGTGAAGACAAAGAAACTGAAGATATTCTGGCAGGTTACTATCAGGAAGAATGAAAAAATGCTTACCTCTACAATAGTCAGCAAAGCTTCCTGAGAATTTCTCATAACAGCCATTGTTTTCTCACAGCACCTAGAAAATATTTTACTGTATTTTTAGGTTCTTTTTGGTAAAATTGAATGGTATTTTCATCATTTAAATAAAGGATATTTGTGGCCTTCTTAAAGATTAATATCTAACAAATGAGTAACCTTTCTGATATTTCTATTTTGGAAAAAAAAAAAGGAGAAACTTAGAAATGTAAGACCAGAAGGAGACTGAGTAGTTCACTGATGATATTCCCTGTAGGAAAGAGATTACCTGTTCTGCTGTCTGAAATGTTTCTGTATGCAGAATTAACTGCTGAGCTAACACTGATTCCACAACAGGGTGACAATAACCTATTAGTTAGTGAAGAATATGCAAAGCTGGGCAACAATAATGATCCTGTAATTGGTTATACAAATAACAGTGTATGGGTTAGAGGACAGCATTTATTTTTGGGTATTATCAGCAGAAATCCAAGTCTCCTCTCAAGCATCAGAACTATTTAACATACAACAACCCTAATGCTGAAGCACTCTGCCACCGCCCCACCTCTCTGCAGTACAGGAGCACTTACCTTCTGAAGACTCCTTCCACGCCACTAATCCCCATTCCGTCCACAATGTCCCTGGTTAATCTAAATGGAACAGTCTCTGGTGTGGGGAGGATTTTACCTTGCTCAAAAGCAACCCCTAAATGAAAGGATAATAAATGTTTTAGAATCATAGAAT